GATTTGTTTCTGCTCTTAAAATCCGCTAGGGAACTGGTCGACCACGAAAATACACAAGGTCATATTCAAATACGCAACGGCACTATGTGCCTTGTCAAGCAAAAATCAAACACTTTCCTATCTATTAAAAATGGACTTCTGCATTTATTATATTCATAAGTATTATGCTAGAAAAATATAGAACAAGATCCCAGGAACTATTAAAATACATGCGGGATGTAAGAATTGCAGCATCCCGATCCCCAGGCTGGTTCAAATATGATGAACAATTTCGCCTACTCAAAGTGTCCAACCCCCAGTTTTCCTGGGCAAATAAACAGCGAATTGTGTCTATTATATATCACGAACAACAGTCTAACTCAGGCTCAAGATAGGGTTAACCCTCAAGGCAAAGTTAATCACACAAATAACCTAATCTCAGCCCAACAAAACCGTTTATCATCTAGTGCTAATGCTACTCAATACTGTCATTATTATAATGCTGGCAAATTATGCAGGTTTTACCCAAATTGTAGGTTCAACCATGCATGCAACTCATGTGGTGGAAGACATGCAGCATCCAGGTGCAATAGCACTAAACAGTTCTAGCCTTGTAGTATCAACTTGTACACTGGGAAAAACTCCTATTAATGTCAACATATTGTCTGACTACGTACATAATTATAAAGAAAAAACAGTTATTTTAAATGGTTTCAGTCTGGGCTTCAAATTGCAGTTCCAGGGCCCCAAATATTATAGGGAGGCAAACAATCTAAAAAGTATTTACCAACATACAAATATTGCACAAAAAAGATAAACAAAGAAGTTTTCTTACAACGGGTGGGGGGTACCTTTGATCATCCACCATTTTCCTCCTTACAGATTTCACCTTTGGGTCTTGTCCCTAGAAAAAATGGCGACTACCGTCTCATTCATCACTTATCATACCCAGAATTTAACTCAATAAATCATTTTATCGATCCCACAGCTTGTTCAGTACATTATGCATCAGTTGATGATGCAGCAGCTATAGTGGCCGCCTTAGGACCTGGAACGTTGCTAGGAAAATCCGATGTTAAATCTGCCTTCCGCCTTCTCCCAGTGGCATGCTCAGACTTCGAGTTATTGGGTTTTAAATTTAATGACAAATATTATTTTGACAAAATGATGCCATTTGGCGCATCCATAAGTTGTGCAACGGAAAAGTTTGGAACAGCCTTGCATTGGATTATTCAAAATAAGTCTCGTAACCCCCATATTTTACATTACTTTGATGATTTTCTTTTTGCAGGTAAGAACAACTTAGATCAATGCAAATCTACGCTGGCTCAGTTTAAGCAAATTTGTCAAGATATTGGGGTACCCCTAGCTTTAGAAAAAACCACTGAACCCAACACAATCATAACATTTTTGGGCAATGAATTTGATACAGTTAATATGGTCATGCGTCTCCCTCAAGTCAAACTCGACAATCTCAAACAAACTATTGATCTTTTTCTCCAGAAGAAAGAAGTCCCCCTAAAATCGGTGCAGTCACTTGTAGGCTTGCTTAACTTTCCATGCAAAACAGTTGCTCCCGTACGGGCCTTTTGTAGACGACTGATTAATGCCACAGTGGGCATTAAAAAACAGCATCATAAAGTCAGAGTAACTCAAGACATAAAATCTGATCTCAGAGTATGGCAACAGTTCTTACACAATTTTAATGGGGTTATCCTTATAACTTCTGGCATTTGGACATCAGACACATCTCTGCAATTTTTTACTGACAGTGCCGGGGGACCAAATGGGGGATTTGGAATATATTTTGCAGGTAGCTGGGCACATTCAAAATGGCCGGGGGACTGGGTTGAATTAGGGATAGTAAGGAACATGACCTTCCTAGAACTTTTCCCAGTGTACGTTTCACTCTCATTATGGTGCGATAGACTCTCTAACAAAAGGATTCTGTTTCACATCGATAACATGGCAGTGGTACAAATACCCAACACATCAACATCAAAATCACCAAGAGTCATGAATATTGTTAGAAAGCTAGTACTGGTCACCCTACAGTATAACATCACAATTAAAGCTCAACATATACCCTCTAAACAAAATTCAGTTGCTGAATTCAGCTGCTGAAAATTCAGGGATCTGGTGCCAGACGCAGACGCTTGGCCAATCCAATTCACAACCAGATTTGACAGATCTAATGACAGAATCCAAAAATTTAATTCACAATTCCCTAGCTCCTAGCACACACAAGACTTACCAAACTGCTCTAGAGAAATTCCAAAATTTTGTCAAAATTCATTATAATCACTTAGTTGTAACTTGGCCTATATCGGTTTAGAATGAAATTCGGTACACACATAGCCATACACAAGGTCTATAAGTAGCATATGCTGAATAAAGTTTCTCTCCTTGTTTGTGACGTCACAATGTGAAAATGACGTCACTATTTAGGTCACTTGTGACGAAAAATGGTTGTCTCAGTCGAACTCGTTCAACAAACGACTGTACAATTTATTGTAATATCTTAGAAATCCCTCTACAGTATCATATAATAATTTGTACACAGTTTATTGAGATGAATGAGTTCCTATAAATTCAATTAATGATTGGATTAATCGTTTTAGTGAAGGAAGGCTGATGGTTAAAAATGATACTTGTCATCTTGCCCAGTGAAAGCAAGTTTGAAAAGATATGTATTTTTAATTAAGCAATTTGCTATCAAAGACCTCCAATTAGCACTTTGAAAAATAGTCGAATATTTGAACATTGATATAAGTATTAAATACCTAAGATATCGTTTACTCTAGATTTTAAACATTTTAGATATGATGAAAAGGATGCACCCATTCTCTATCCACCTTGAATAAAGGTCTCTCCAGAGACAGAAGATTTGTGTTTTAATGGTCGCCATGCTTATTTTTGGAAAGGATGTTATTATCCACCCATTCTGTTGCCGAGATATGACCATTTCTGACAAATTAACTGTTCTTGTCATAAAAATTAACTCACATGGAAAGAAATATAAAACTCGGAAAAATCTTTTAACTTTTGTGACAGAACGCTACGGAGGGGGTCACGTGACCGCCAATATCACGTGATTCGCGCATGCGCAGAACGGTGGTTGATGTGCATTAAAATTGGGGAGGATTAATATAAAATATAATCAACATTAAAACCAAATATTGCTTCTTGTATGGAAGTTATTCAATTAGTTTGCGAACTTTTTGATCACCCCTCGTACTTAATTTTATAGCTTATTTGTCAATCCATGAGCATGCCGCTAGCACTGTGCCATCGTACGTAAGTGCAGTTGCCTTTTTTCACAAACTTCAAGAACTCCAGGACCCATCAAACGATTTTCTCGTCAGAAAAGCATAACAGGGTCTTAAGCGCACTAGGGGTACAACACAGGACTTGCGTTGTCCTATTACTTTATCGATCTTGCGAAAAATCATATCTTCACTACCAACAATTTGTACACCATATGAAGTTAAACTGTTCACATGTGCCTTTAGTATGGCATATACCGCATTACTCAGAGTAGGGGAATGCACGGCCATGGGTTGCAACACTAACTCGCATGTTATTCAGTTTCAAAGAATCGAGGTTAGGTATCGCACCAATGAAGTTCGAATAACAATCCCACGTTCAAAATCTCAACAAACAAGTGGACAAACACTCATTCTATTACATATAATAGGCCTTTCAACTAATTTTTCAAGTTGCACATATGATAAAAAACATTGCATAGATAGATTTATAGGTACATGAAAATTTCAAAAAAAAGATAATAACTTATGCATACTTTTAATTAAATCATTAAAAAATTTAATTTTTCATAATTGACTTTTACGATGTTGTGTTTTAAGGACAGGTAACTCAGGTGTGAAAAATGACCAACTAAGTGCCGATTTATGAGTTATCGTTTATAGGAATGACATATAGGCTGCTTCGGCATTGGTATTGTTATGCACACAAAAGGGTTCCTTACATTGTTTTGTATACAAAAGTGTTGACCAAAAGAAGTAAAATGCCTTCACTCTACCTGAAATAACAGGGTCGAATGAATGGAGAACAGACTATATTCAATATTTTTAACTCTCTTTGACGACTGTTGTGAAGTAGAAAATATAATGTCGTGTTTTTTGTGTTCGCGCTTTTTCGCTTCCTATATAAAACAACATATTTTTACAAATAAATGCAACAATTGATTATCTTATCTTATTTGTGTTACTTAGCACGAAGGGGAACGATCGAGTATAAAAATTTAATCAGGTTAGAACTAAGAAGGGGGGATAGATTTCACTTTTTATTTTAATTTAAAATTTTAAATATATGTTGTTAAACATTGTCCGCAAATACACAGTAAATAAGTTTAACATTGGAGCTAAATTAAAAAAAACTGGATTCTACTAACAGCAAAGAAACACTTAGGAAATGCTAAAAACTGACTTGCATGTAAACAGTTAGATACCTCAGGCCTGCTTTAAACAAGTTTCAGCAGTGAGTTATCGTTCATAAAAGCGAACCCTAGCGGCACTTGAAAGGCCTACATATAACCTTTCGGCTCTACGAGGGTATCATATAGAATTTGTTTCCTTGTGTAGCGAAGCATAACTGAGAAGATCTCAATTCAAAGACTTAAAAATAGTGTGTCATGTAACTACACTCGGAATCCAACCCATATAAAAGCGACTGTCCACGTGTGGATATCATCTTTTTTCTTGAGCGAGCATAACAAATATGCGCGTTTGTATTCGTGTGTTGGGTTTTTTATTTTTTGTTTATAAGTCTATACGTCTCTAGGACGAGGCCCAGAGAAAAATAATAAAGTAACTTAACTGTTTGTAATCTTACCAAGAACGCTGTTCTGGTCGTTTTACTTTGGGTATTTTTTCTAACACCTGTTGTAAACTTGTGTTTTTTGTCTTATATTAATAATATCGGATTTGGACGACAGAGACGATGTCCTGTCGCTGGGGGGAAATAGTGCTGAAGAGAATTTTGATAATGAAACTGAAAAAATGCAGACTAGGTCTGATAAACTGTCACAGTGTAAAACATGTGGCAATAAAAAGAGAAAGTCGGCCATAGAGCCCGGTGTAAACACAACCGTCACTGTTAAACCGTCTAAACAAAGACGTGTCACGAAAAAATCAACAGGAAATGATACCTGTTTAGACATAAACAAATTAAAATCTGCACTAGGGATTGATACTATGTTGCAATCAATTTCTACTCTTTCTGAATCTATTAAGAAAATTTCAGATGTACATGTACGTCAAAATTGGCAAAGTATGGCACCCAATACGGGAAATGACACAGTTACTGCTAGTCTGCCCAGTGCAACTGTTTCTAGGCCAATATTATGTCTAGATCAGGGTGAATCAAATTTTTTTGACAATTCAGAGACTTTGAACGATTTAAATTTGAGCTATTTGGATACTCCCCCTAGTCCTTCATTGCCTGGAGTAGATCCTCAAGTTGCTTTTCAAAATGCTTTTGAGTCAGTTGATATTGAGAAGTCTTTAGATGATGATTCGCTGTGGAATATTCCACAGCTAATTCCAGATGAGGTTACCGGCCCTAAAATTGGGTCTGGTCTAGCCAAAGCAGTCAACGCTGCTCTCTCTGTAAAATCTTCAAAAGAAACCATGAATAACATTGGTAAAAAATATAATAGACCAGAAAATTGTACTGTGTTGAAAGTCCCACGGGTAAACAAGGAAATATGGGATGTTCTGGGAAAACAAGCTCATTCTTCTGATTTGTCTTTTCAAGAGATACAGAAGTCTCTGGCCCAGGGTTTAGTACATATTGTCAATTTAGCAGATCAATTAGCAAATCATAAAGAAATCGACAATCAAAAAACAAAAGCCATGTTATCTGATTCAATAAGTCTTCTTGGTTATGGGTTTTACAATTTGTCAATGAAAAGACGACATGAGATCAGAAATCACTTGAATCCTAGGTACAGGAAGATATGTAGTTCTGATGTCCCTATTTCTGAAAATCTGTTTGGTGACAATTGTATGACAAAACTTAAAGACATGGGTGACATAAATAAGTATCATCTTAGCTCCAACAGGGGGCAAGTTGGAAACTACTCTGCATACAGAAACAGAGCTCCTTTAAACTACAGGGGTGCTGCTGGAAATTTCCAGCAGCACAACCAAACATATCAGTACAGTCAAAGTTACACGTATCCAAACAGATGGTACCAATACAGACCTCGAGGAGGCCAGAGCTACAAGAGAGGAGGATAGAGCTACTCCCAGCAGCAAAGTTATTGTCGGAGAAACAGTCAGAAGAAATAGTTAAGGTGAGAAAACTTAACATTGACTATTGGAAGAATTTTACAAATGATAAATGGATTTTAAGCACTGTTGAAGGCTATAAAATTGATTTCATTGAGGAACCAAAGCAATCTTTTATTCCAAAAGGAATCTCCTTTAATGAAAATGATTCAATACTGGTTCAAAATGAAGTAGAAAATTTATTAGCAAAGGGTGCCATTGAAAAAGTTTACAATCCATCAGATGAATATATTTCTAACATTTTTTTAGTACCAAAGAAAGATGGAAGTCAGAGACCAATTATAAATTTAAAGAGTCTTAATGAATTTATTGAATACCAACATTTTAAGCAAGAAAATCTGCATTTTGCTTTGGAACTAATTGAAAAATATGATTATTTGACATGAATCAATCTTAAAAATGCTTATTTCAGTATAAGTATCCATCCAGATTTCAGGAAATATTTGGCTTTTTATTGGAATGACAGTTTGTATAGATTTACTGTTCTTCCTTTTGGTCTGGCCTCTGCGCCGAGAATTTTTACTTAAGTTTTGAAACCAATTTTTGCAGCCTTTAGATCTATGAATATTAAATGTTGTTACTATATTGATGATTCTCTCATTGTTAATACAAGTTTTGAGAAATGTAAGAGAGAAACTGAAATAGTGACAAATGAGTTGGACAATCTTGGTTTCTCAATCAATCGCAAGAAGTCAGTAATGAAACCCACTCAAAGAATAAAATTTTTTGGCCTTATCATTGATTCGGTGGAATTTGAGGTCTTTCTTACTGATGAGAAGGTATCAAAAATTATGACATTATGTTCAGAGATTTTACAGGAGCAAATTGTTCCAATTCGTGAATTTGCATCCTTGATTGGTCTTATTGTTCATGCATTCAATGCTATATTTGTTGGACCTTTGCATTACAGGAATTTGGAAAGAGACAAAATAAAAAGTCTTAAAGATTCTATAGATTATGAATAGGAAATGGTTATTTCAGAAAATAGTGTTCAGGAAATAACGTGCGAAAAAACGCATATGGGAGTGGTTAGTTTGTGTCTAGGACCGGATCATACGGAGGGGCGGCGGCGGTACTAATTATTGCATGTACGTGTACTACGTCCTCACAGACTTATGGGAACACTATAGCGTCCGTCTAACGGAGGGATAGAGGATTGTTGAGACGTTTTAAGAGGAAGACCTGTGAGTCCGGCGGTCTAGACGGTCAGTGAACGTGGTGTCGACCAAACGGTGTATGGAGGCCCAGTGGTGCCGATATTTGTGTTGAAATAGGAACGGTTTTCAGACAAACTCCAAATTTTGTTTATCAAAATATAATTCTAAAGTTATATTACAGTGAACAGTATTGAAAGTATAAATTCTTTTTTGAACTTTTTAAAAGACAACTTGAAGTTAATTATTGCTTAATACAAAAGTTACTGTTTTCATTTAACAAGTTTTGTATTGATATTTATTTCTGACACGCAGTTTTAAGTTTAGTTGTTCGTAGGCGTGTCAGTTTATTCTTTGTGAAGTTATATATTTTTCTTTCTCTGTGTGAGTGCTCGCGAGTGTGGTGTATGTAAGGTTTTCGTGTTTTTTTTGTTTGTTTATTCATTTCTTTGATCTGTAAAATAAATTTATTTTTGTTTAATTGATTCTACAGTGTTTCGTTTTCTTTCGGACTAACACAAAATCCAAAAGAACTCATTACATTCATTTCTTGGGTATTTGATCCAGATGCTGCTGATACTGATGCTTTTACCCTAAATTGGACCAATTTAAAACCATATATATTTCCTCCTTTCAGATTAATAGGGAAAATAATAAAATCATTTCAGATAAAGTAGAGGAGGCTATTGTAATCATTCTTTTATGGAGAACTCAAAGTTGGTTTCCAATGTTAATTTCATCTTTAATTTCTGTTCCCGCCACAAGGATCTCTTGATCATGCCGCATACCGGAGAGTTTCATCCCATGGTAAGGAAAATGTCCTTGATCGCCTGTGTTCTATCAGGAAACATCTTGAGAGTCAGGGAATTCCAGAATTCGAATGCTCAATTATTAATGCAGCCCTTAGACCAGCCACCAATAAACAATATCAATATGCTTGGCAAAAATGGGTTTTTTGGTGAGGTAAATGGAAAGTTAATCCCTATCAACGTTCTTAGGTGAATGTTGTCAAATATCTGGCACATTTAATGAAACAAAAATGTTCATATTCAGTAATAAATTCAAATAAAGCTATGCTTTTACAAACCTTTTTCCTTTTTCAATGCGAAATGGGTAAATAACCAGATTCTGATTCCAAAGCTGTTAAACGGATATTATAATTTAAATATCCCTATACCTAAATGTAAAAAGACATGGGATGTCTCAAAAGTTTTGCTTTTCTCAAGTGGCTTTTATCCAGTTAAAACATTGAATCTCAAAATGTTGACACTGAAATTAGTAGCACTTTGTACACTTACTACTGCTGCAAGAGCACAAAGTCTCTCAGCTTTGAAGTTAGATTATATGTGTATTTACAATGATAAAATTGTGTTTCAAATACATACTCTTATGAAAACTTCAAGGACAGGTATTATATTGCCTTCAGTCACATTCCATAAATATGATAAAACAGAACTTTGTTTCTTGATACTTTAACAGAATATTTAAAGAGAACAAAGGATGTACGCAAAAGTCCTTTTTTATTTATATAATATAAAACTTATTTGAAAGTGACAACTTGTACATTAGCTAGATGGTTGAAAGAAGTTTTACTTTCCTCTGGAATTGATACCTTTACCGCTGATTCCTTTAGGGGAACAGCAGCATCCATGGCATATAACGCTGGAACCTCCTTGAAGGAAATTATGGATACAGCTAACTGGACCTCTGCAAAGACTTTCCATACGCATTTTTTGAAAGAACTTCCTATGCAGAATTCTTTTGCGAAAAGTGTGTTGGACAATAATATGAAAAGACAGTGATTCAAGTGAAGTTTTTCTTTTTTGTGTAAATAAACGGCTGATATCATTTCTTTTGATTAAACATTCAATGTGTTTATAAAATATTTCTTGTTGTGTTTGTTATTTTGTGACAACACTTTGAATATGCTATATGATACCCTCGTAGAGCCGAAAGGCGATATGTAATAGAATGGTCCCTCATCCAAGCACACCTTTAGGGATGTGAAGGATGAGAGACATCCTTTGTAATGAGCCTGAGGCTCAAGAGGGTATCATATACCCGACCATATTTAATAGACAATTTTAAGGCTTTGAATTGAGATCTTCTCAGTTATGCTTTGCTACACAAGGAAACAAATGCTATATGATACCCTCTTGAGCCTCAGGCTCATTACATAGAATGTCTCTCATCCTTCACATCCCTAAAGGTATGCTTGGATGAGGGACCATTATTTAGGGTCAAGCACATTCTCTGCTATGTCCGGTTAGATGCATGAGGGAATTTTTAAAAGTCAGACCGACCACACCTGCCTCCCATATTTTCTTAGTTCACAGTGACACGGCACCTCTCACTAGGTTTCAGTTCAATGCAGTATTGCAAAAAGCTCTCAAAATTTCGGGAACACAAGGATACAGTAGATCCATAAAATAATTTTTCAAAGAGTATTACATTCAAGATTTCTAGATTACACTAACCCAACCCAAGAATTGTAGGTTCCCCAACACAGATATGGATACTTGGATCTTCGATACCTTATTGGGCTGGACAGTTTGTCAGATCGACTCGCCTTGGAAAAGATCTGGATTTACCGGTCAACATCCTATTACATGCTAAAAGATGGATGCAGTGGCACCAATTAGATCCAGAGGTCGTGAGACTCCTTAAACAGCATGCACCGCCAACTCTCCTCATTATCCATTTAGGGTCAAATAACCTTGTTACAGAAGGTTTAACAAGTAAACAATTTGTGGAAGAAATAACATGTAGCTTACTTCAATACAATGCACTTTTACCAAAAACAAAAACATCTAAAGAGGGCAATCAGGTGATGTTAAATAACCTGAGGTCGGGTGTGCTTAAAATAATTAATGAATAAAACATGGGCGGTTTTGAGTTGCATGGGGTATAGAGGAACATCGTATCAATATCTGTGGCGGGTCTGGGGGATATAATTGGGAAGTTTTGAAATTATCTGGCCTTATGGTTTCCCCTCATCTGCCATTCAAGACAGAGGGCGGTTTGTAAAAGCAAATTTTACCTATGTATGTGTTTGGAAAATTGTGTATTATAGATTGGGGTCACTCAAGTTCAACAGTCTTGGTGCCCACTCCACCTCTATACACAGGAGGGGAGGCTTAGTCCTGGAGTACATGGTATAGTACTAACAACCAGGTGCAATCACTGGGAAACGGGGTAAACGTATATTTTGAAAACTCCTCCAATCCCAAATGGGTGGTATTTTCATAGTTTGGGATTTTTGGTACTTGCACTTAACGCCAGGCCACCAGTTTGCCCGTTATGCTTGCTAGGTTGGTATACTGGATATTCCCTCGGACCCTGGGTTAACACAATGTGGCCATTTATTTCCATTGTCCCTTTTTGTCAAATTGTAAATGGTTATTGTTTGATGTTTTGTCTAATTGATTCAATAAATTTGGAAAAAGAAACATTTGTTTGTGACTGTTGTCATGAGAACAGTTAAGAGAGTAGAGGAAGTACAAACTTATATGAAAGACAAGAGCTAGTCTGTGGTGTCAAATGTGTTTATTTTGAATGTTCAATTAAATTATTGACATTTCCCTGCATTTAACCTCTGTTATCGATATTTGCTGCTGATCTTTAAAGTCTTAAAAAACTATTTTGTCTTGAGTATAAGTTTAGTTTATTTTATTTGCTGTTCCTTGGAAAAATTAAGAAAAATTAAGATTTTAAAAGATTTGTTATATATATATCCCTATGTATCCCTTTTGGTCACACCCTACCTACCCTTGTCATGATTTGAACACATTTGAT